CTACATTTATTTTTGATATGTTCTTGAAGTTAAGTTACTGTCGGTCTGCTAGTTGAGTTACTATATTAATCATTTAATGATTCATAGATCCCTGGCTGTACATTTACATTGTTTTTTATGAGCATGTATGGATATGTATATTTGAGGATGTATAGATTTAATTTCATTATTTTGATATACGCACTATTATTAGATGTTATTACACATCTTTAGCAGTTTTTGCTATCCATGTTAAATTTGTGAGACCTGCTAATTAGATTTCATGGCTTCCTACTAGCACATTTTTCGGGTTGATGTTAACATGGGATGTTGTTGGGCTCAATTCTGTATAGCCCTTGGTTCTTATTCTGGTTGCGGACTGTTTGGTTATTTTTGTGGGAGGGCCGGTTGGGGGTGTAATGGCCTCTCTTTTTTTTGTTTTGCCATATGTGTGCATATTTGTTTTTTTGTTGTTTTTTTTACGTTTTTGCTCATGGGTGTTTTGCGGGTGGGCGGGATACCTCAGGTCCTTTCGACAATTTCTGTGCATTCCTTTTATTATTATACTGGTACACACTGCTCACCTTGATAAATGGCTCATTTAAACATATTGGTTTAGAATACGGGGGGCCTTAACGCTCCACATAAACGCACCAGTGTCCTAGGCTTGTTGAGGAGTAAAAAGGTGGATTTGGCATTACTGAGTGAAACTCACCTTCTGAAGACTGACGCGGGAAGACTGGCTGACAAATTCTATCATGTCATAGCATCTTCTTCTGCAAGTACTAACATCCGGGGAGTGACCATAGTGGCTAAGCGCAATTTAAATATAAAAGTTTTAGATGTATGGACAGACACAACAGGCCGGATAACTATCGCAAAAGTCAAATGTTCTAATAGGAAAATTGCGCTGGTCTCAGCATATGCTCCTAACTCATTTGAGGGAGATTTCTATAATGTGCTCAATGCCGCCATTTTAGAGTTGACAGACTACTAGTTTATAGTGGGGGCCGATTTTAATGCTGTATGGGACCCAGCTATAGATAGATCAGGAGCCTCTGAGACAACAGACCAAAGGAGGGCTTCTTCCGCCCTGCGTGCGTGGACTCACGAAACAGGGCTAGTGGACCAATGGCGCCTGATTAACCCCTCTTCGAAATACTTTTCTTTCTTTTCCATCTTCTCCCGCTTATCCGTGGTCGGGTCGCAGGGGTAGCAGTTCCAGCAGAGAGCCCCAAACTTTCTTTTCCCTGGCCACATCAACCAGCTCTGACTGGGGGATCCCAAGGCGCTCCCAGGCCAGAGAAGAGATATAATCCCTCCACCTGGTCCCAGGTCTACCCCTTGGTCTCTTCCCAGCTGGACGTGCCTGGAACACCTCCCTAGGGAGGCACCCAGGTGGCATCCTAACTAGGTGCCCGAACCACCTCAACTGGCTCCTTTCGACGCTGTATTGTTTTGTAATTTGTGTTGTGATTGTACATTGTAATTTACTAAATGTGTGTGAATAAAAACATTTGATAAAAAAAAAAAAAAACTATAAATAATCCTCAGCGTTTTTGCAGCTTGGAGCAGCTAAGGAAGCATTGTCTCTCTAGTTTCAAGCTTTGGAAAATACAACCTATTTTCACTTTCAGTTGAACAAGTTCCTACATGAGTGGGTTATCTTCTGTATCGTCACTATGTATAGAGCTTGTCAAACTTGAACTCGTTATTTAACTCCCAAAGGCAGTAACAGTTTTGATTACAGATTTATAGCCGGATGAATCAAATGAACCAAATCCGCCCATAAGAAGCACAGCAGAAAAGGTAATACTGTATGTTTTAAACGTTTGAAATAATACGTTTTAAGTGCCTTTTAATGTATTTTGGAAGACATAAGGACAAAGATTTTCTGTCAGATAAAAACAACACTCACTCGTCAGAGTCAGACTGGTCTTCGTTTTCATTTCTTTCCACAGCCTGAAACTCTCGCTCTCTGGCTTTCTTCTCTGTCACCTCTTTCCAGTAGTCGTTCAGTTTTAGGCCCAAAGCACCTAGGGTGAGTCTTGAGAGGAGAAAATAAAAAAAGGCATTGATATTTTTTTAAATATTTCTCTCAATAACAATTACACAACAGCACAACTGAGTGTAATATGAAAATGTTTCTCTTAAATAAAACATGTCAAAACGTGCCTTTAAATATACTGTGATAATTTCCAGCCTCAACACTGGAAGGAAATGGAAGCAGCACCAGACAGAGCAGCATGAGTTGTTGTGGCTTTTTCCTCATAACTTTGTAAATGCAGTCTGTAATCAAATGTTCTGCTCTAATCTGCCATATGGCAAAAATCAACCTAAGCAGCTATTTAATTCTATAATGCTTGCTGTATAAGCACAAAGCTTTTTATGCGTCTTTATTTTGTACCTGTATTCTTTGGTGTATTCAAAGTCTTGCTTGTTGTGAGCAGGTTTGAGGAAGTTGCACTCAATGACACCGATGACCCCGACTCCTGCCCTTTGACCTGAAGCCTGGAGGGATGTGGGAAGTGAGATTTAAGCAGAGGCAGATATTCATATAACTACATTTGGAACAGAGAACTGCACCTGCCATGCGTGTAACTTATAGATTAATCCTTCTCCTCTACCTTCAGCTGGCAGCCCACTTTCTCGTAGGCTTTAATGAGTCGGTTCCTGTGGTACATCATGATGCCACAGTGCTCTTTGTCTTTCGGGTTCAGCCCAAACGTCACCTTCACCTTGTCTTTCTGACACAGACCAGTCAAGGTTAACAACACTGGCAGGTTCCAGAATAAGGTCAATAAATACATTTCAAGCTAAAGATTTGAGTCAGGAGCAGAAGCAAATCATTTATATACATAATATACTTATTCAGACAATTATTACCAGCTTTCAGTACTCAGTCCTAAGGAAAACTTGACTTTGTACCAAAAAAAGTGTTTATCTTTTAAGATGGATTTTAAATATAATATACTGTAGTTGTGTATTAGCATGGCCTATACTGCCTTTTGTTTATTTGAGTGGGTGAAATCAGTTTTCAACTTTTTTTTGGTGAAAACTGTCAGACATGTCTTTCCATTTCAAAGGTTGTGCATTTGAACATAGAAATGATGTAGAAAAACTGTTTGAATTGAAATGTTCCCCTCTCAAACACCTCCCAGCAACATGGGAGGTGTTTTTCATCAAAAGCACCTAACTTGCAACTTCCTGTTTGCATATGAATAGAGCCACAGAAATAGATAACATGGCTTTATACTGTTTATACCTTTTTGAATGGAAAGGATACGCTGAATTGGGGTTTGTACACGTCATGCTCGATAAATTTCAGCCTCTTCGACACCAGCTTAGCCAGAATCTTCTTCCCCCTCAGTATGATCTGTGTCCTCGGCTTCAGATACAAGATACTGAGGTAGGCCTGACACACAGAGGAACAGAGGGAGAGAGTGACAAGAAGTTAGTCAGTCTTGAATAAGTTCAACAGAAAGCCAATAACATCTCAGAATAAAAACTCAAAGATTGTGCACTCTTCTTAAATGAATATCAACCCCTCCCCTATGTCTGGCTCTGACATTTCAAATGTAAAACATACAATTTATTTCTTTTTTCTGACACCATCACTTAAAGCAGGGGTCGGCAACCCGCGACCTGCATGCGGCCCTTTAAGCCCTCTGCTCTGGCTCCCTTGAGCTTAGACAAAAATAAGAAGGAAATAAAATAAAAGTATTTGTAGGACTATTTATATTTTGTTGCATGGTTGAAAATGTTTCGTATCTTGTATTTTGAGTTGAAACTGTGACACATAAATAAAAAACAAAACGGTTTTATCCTGCTACGGTCCCGCGCGAGCGCCTTTTCTTGGAGGCGAATAACCTGACCCGCGGCTCGATGAGCGAACTATGGATAAATCAAAGAAAAGTACCGGAGGAACACAGGATTTAATTCTGCGTGGACAGAGTTATATGCTTTCACAGCAAACGATGCTGGTTTACCGGTATGTTTGATATGTAGAGAGAAGTTGTCAACGGTGGTGCAGCCTTTACATATCGAGGAACAACAAGGGAGAGGAAGACAGCTGACGATCTTCAGTCATAATTCAATGGGGTATGTAATTTATTTCAGAAAACACTTTTTGTTATATTCCATGGAATGCTCTTAACGTCCCGATAGCAATGAATATATTAAATGCTTTGACAATAAATACATACAAAAATTAATCTCTGGAAGCCGTAGCGCTGTAAAAAGCACCACCAATCATCTGAGCCAGCCCGGCTAAAATAACTGGATGGCCTACCTGCCTGTCAGCCTTCCATCTGTGCACAAACTTATCTCGTGCCCTCATTGGTCATGTGCACGTTCGTGTGTGTTGGAGGAGGGACTCTGTAAGAAAGTCTGAAGGAAGAGGCATGTTTTCTGGTTGTGTACTTTCAAATTCTAGCGCACTCGAGCTGGTTTCTCCATTCTTACCTACCCTACCTTTAACTCTTTTTAGGGTGCAGCTATATATTTTATTTATTTCAAACTGTATTTTTTGTCTGATACAACAATAAAAAACTATGAAATATGTTTTGCGGCTCCAGACAAAAAAATGTTTTGGAAAAAGGAGCAAAATGGCTCTTTCGGTCAAAAAGGTTGCAGACCCCTGACTTAAAGGTAGGGTATGTACGTTTGAGAAACCGGCTCGAGATCGCTAGAATTTGAAAATACACAACCGGAGAAAATCTGCCACTTCCTTACAGAGCCCCTCCTCCAACACACACGAACACGCACATGACCAATGAGGGCACGAGATAAATTTGTGCACAGATGAAAGGCTGACAGGCAGGTAGACCATCCAGTTACTTTAGCCGGGCCGGCTAAAATGATTGGTCGTACTTTTTACAGTACTACGGCTTCCACAGATGACATTTTTTGTCAAAGCACTTAAAGGTAGGGTATGTGCGTTTTAGAAACCGGCTCGAGATACACTTTTTGTTATATTCCATGGAATGCTCTTAACATCCCGATAGCAATGAATATCTTAAAGGGCCCATTGCATGGTCCTTTCTACTGATCATAATACCATTGTTGAGGGATATTACAATAGAAAAATACTGTGCAATTTTCCAAACTCAGATTGGTTTCTCATACATTATCTCTGTATAGTATGAGTTTTCACTCCCTGTGCTAAACGGCTCGATGGAGTTCCTGCCCCCACCCTCCTGTGCGTCCAGTGTGCTCCGATTGGTCAGCTCTGCCACTCTGTTCTGATTAGTCAACCACCAGAGAGGCTCTGCCCCTGTTGACATCTGCCGTAAAGTAGTTTAGCGGGTACTTAGCAACAGCAATACTAGATTTGAGAATCGATAGATAGAGTTATATAGATACATAGATAGCTTACATATAGCATACAATGGCGTATGGAGCATACAATTTCGAACCTCCGTTCGATCCTAGAATAGACCAAATCGCGAGTCTTGCCTCGCCGTTCACTAGAGCAGACCAAACAGTGTCATTGTGGTACGTTTTTATCTAGTATATGTCTTACATTTCAGATGTCATCAGATGTACCTACAACTGTTGTTATTTAGGTGCCGTTGTGGAAACTGCGCTTTGATGCCAAGTGACGGAGAAAACGTGTGCTGCAATAGCATAAGAAAGGTAGCCTAGCTTAGTTACATTATGTCGGCAGCTAGCTGAAAACACCAACAGTAGCACACATATACCAAGATATACAGCATACATATTTTTCAAGTCAATAGACTATTATATGCACTTGTATTACTTCCTTAGTAATTGAATGTTTATTTTGTAAACCTTTCCCATAGTTGGTTTAATTGCTAAACGTCTTACCTTCATAGGTTGTAACACGCATGCTGCAAGTTCCAGAACCCATTAACTGCATGGTTGACCAGAGCCTAACTGCTTGAACCCATACACCCTGCAGAATCTCCACAATATTTATAAATACAGTTTCGGACCTTTGACAAATACAACGGAAGAAAAGTAAGTTATTGTTACCTGTAATAAACTACTACCGTTTGATGAAAAATCAAATCATGGTTTGCTATATATGAATGATATGTTATTGGAGCAAATAATTCAGGAAAGAAAGGCTACTAAGTATTTCCATCAAACTTTATTTTTACAAATGTACAAAATGTGTGAATGTATATTTATACACTGTACATCATCCATTCCTATCCTGATAGGCATTTTCGATATCTTGCGTATCGCAGCTTTGTAAGCTGGTGCTGGGGATATTTAGGGCGAGCCATCAGAGTGGTGATTCCGTCGTGTGTTGTGCTCCGGATCCGCCAGGAGTTTCCAGATCTGGCTGGACAATATGTAGGATTTCGACCTCCTTTGGGGGAAAACGGGAGAAACGGCTGACAATCATTTCCTCCTTGGGGGGCCTGTCAAATTGAGTTGACAGGTCCTCTGGGAGGTGGATTCGTTTCAGCTCGTCCACAAAGGGTGTAGGGTCCAGAAAGACTTTGTGAAACACAAGCCTCGGCAGCTCATCCACTGTTACATACTCCCCCCCTTTTGTCGTCCTCTTTGTTCTCTCTGTTGTGCAGGTACACCTGGCTCCGCCTTCCCCAGGTGTTCCCAGTTGTCACTCAGCCGAGCTTGGCTGGCCAGGTGTTGCCAATCAGCCGAGCATAAAAGAGGAGGCTGAAGGAGAAGGAGGAAGCCGATCACTACTCCGGATGTCTGCTGTGTCAGAGCTCTTTTGCCTTTTTGTTGTGTTTCCTGGAGGACGTGTTAGTATTAGGTTTTCACGGCTTTATTTCTCCCGTTAGGTTCTGTTGGATTTTGGGTAGCGGAGGAAGGCTCTGGATCCTACGGCCCGTGGTGTGGTTGGCCCAAGTCCCCTCCGTCTGTTTGTTTGTTTTACCTGTCCTCCAGTGGAATGATTTAGTATTGTGGCAATAAATGTATGATCACAGTTTAGTGCCTACGTGTTGTGTACTTTTGTTTTATGTTGCGGACTGCCTCACGAGCCACTACTATTGAGTAGGGAGGCGGGTCCTAACATCCACATAGACTGAAAAAAAGCATTGTATAAATAATTTGTTATTGTTATTCACTTTTTGTATTTAATGTAATACTTTTATTGTTCATTGTATCTTTAATCATTTGAAATGTAAGTTCTGTTAATAATAATAAAAACAAATATTTCACAACTTACTGTATGTAGGGTCGTTCTTAACAGGCTTGACCGTACACTCTCCCCTCTTTGATTTTGGATAAACCAATTTGAAGACAAGTTTTCCTGCAGCAGTTGTCGCTTGGTCACGCCCAGCATTCTCGTTGTGATGCATTGCTGCTAGACACAACCTATAGAATAGCAAAATAAAATGAGACTTTGTGTTATGACAGAATAAAACCCTCATGCCACTAAACAGTGACTGTGTTATAAGATGCTACAGAATAAAGTATACAGTGTATTACCTGCACAACATTCCAATGAAGGGGAAAACCACATTTTTTGGGGTAAAACACAGAATTAAGTTGTGGAAGGACTCCAGGGATGAGGTCTGGGTGATGGCTTAGCTTTAGCACATCTTTGAGAACTCTCTTGTTGGTGAGTATCGTTTCAACTCTGGCGAGTGTTATTGAGCCTTGAGTAAAATGACAAAGACATTAGGTAAATCACCAGCACATTAGAACATTACAACAATAATTTGCCATAACAACAATGTTATATTTACATTCTATATTGTTGATCTTATGAAGGAAGTGAAATATTGAACTTACCACCTTTTAGGTAAGGTTTATTTGCATCGCTTGCGGCTCCTACAGGATGTGTGCACTTGGGGAACAGGGGGTCATCATGCACGTGAACGTTTTGTAGGTGGTTGACCAGTGACGTCCACCTTGCCACCTTCTCCGGCCCCGAGGTTGTGCTCGTCGCACTCCAGTAGACATGGTTTTTTATGCTGCGCAGCCACCTCTTCAACTTCGTGTCACAGTCCTTGTTCTGTGTAAGTTTCAGAAGTTTCTTGGACAAACCTGATAAAAAAAAAGCACATGCACAAGTTAATATTCAAGTCATAGTGTGGAAATGACGTGCTGTGATGGACAACATTCAAGGGTGTGGTGGAAATTCCACACTTCATATATCATCAACCATAACATACATATGATAATTGCCTGTCAGTGCGACACCCTTCTGTCTGAAAACATTTCATAGCCAGGAAACCTCCATACATATTCATATCACTGTAAATTCCCATTCTAAAGAGTACTCACATTATCCTAGGATTAGTGATACGATACGTCGCATTCTTCTACAGTATCATCAGGGTGGTAACTCGAACCCAGAGTCTCCTCAAATTCTGTCGACGTCTCTGCTTGTTCCTCCTCCAACTCCAGTCGAGGTCTCTTGCGAGGTCCCAATCCTGGGCCCTTTATTGGTGTAGAGCAGTGGTTCCCAAACTTGTTGTGCCCAAGGCACACCAAAGGACAAGTAAAAATCTCAAGGCACACCTATTGTGCAAAATAGCCCTTAACACGTGTTATCACTCATATCATGTAAAATATCTGTAAACGTGCATAATTATTTACCAAATAAAATGTGACAAAGACAACTATATTACGAAATATTTCAGAAATTAATTTGAAACTTTATCAAATTAGGCTTCATCAAAGCAGCAACACACTCATTTAAACCAGACAGGTCACAAAATTAAAAATGAGGCAAAGGAAACTCAGCAGAAATGCAGCACAGAGAACTGTATATGCAAGGAAGCTGCATTGTCCATGGTCCTGAACTACAAATTATAAATTATAAATGTATTACTTTAAAAAAAGTAATATATTACACTACTTCGTTACTATCTACATAAAGTAACTCGTTACTTTACTCGTTACTTTACTCGCCGAGCACGTACGAACTGCGCATGCGTGAGTGGCAATAACTATCCTTACCAGCAGGCGGCGGTAGTGTGTATTTGTCATTCAAAACAGGCAACAACCGGAAGACAGAGAAGAAGAACAGACTACATGATATAAACAAACAACAAATAGCGTGTGCTGTAGCTTCACTTTAGCATGTGTTCTTTGCAGGTGTTTGTTGAGGTTTGACGTGGTGTTTCCAGCAGTGGATAACAGCTTCTGGCCTGGACACAGTTTGCACGTCACCGTCACATTCCTGTCTATTCTTCGGACAAACTCAAAGTAATGGGCATACCTCCACCCCTCGAAAGTTATCGCTGACTCAGCCTGCCATGTTTATGCAGCACTGCACGTGGAGATGTGGATGCGCAAGTCACGCAGATTACGTACATATAAACCTACAAAGTACTGATAGTAAATTAAAAAAATAATTATTTTTGTGTAGTTGTATATTGCAATAATAACGTATGGTTGTCACAAAATCCCACGGCACACCGTTTGGGAACCACTGGTGTAGAGGACAAGGGGATTTCTGTGTAGGTGGAAGTTTTAGTGCCAACACTTTTGAAAGACACCGTGGCCTGGATGCCTGTTAATAAAAAGGGAAAAGTGCATAAATACTATGTACATTAGATAAGACACTAATACATTGTAAAAGGCCAACAACTTGTGTACATCTGACAGATTAATTCATGAAAAATGTACAAACTACAAACAGCACTGTATTTCTTGTAGTCAACATAACAGTATTTCTGTGATATACAATAATATCAAATAAGGTTTTATTTATAGAGCACATTTAAAAACGATTTTTGGTCGAGCCCAAGTGCTGTACATGTAATAAAAGCACAATTAAGGTAATGTATCTGTGATTTGTCAGTGTTATAGTCTACCTTTGCTTCTCACGTGTGCCGATTTCAGTGTTCCCCGGGCCAACTGTGTAGCAACAGAAATGGCGGACACTTTACATTCCACTGTCTGTGTTCCCACAGACCGTGTCTCAACCCTCTGAGTTCCCACACAAACAGTCTGTTTGACATCCGACTGTACTGAAGCTGTGGGTATTGTGTTCCTGCTGTGATGTACTCTAAGAAAGATACACATAGTATTCATACAATTAATTTTGTATCCGAGGAAAACAGTCAATTTCATAAAAGCAACACTTTTACAATTACAATGTTCTACAGATAGTCTGCTACCTTTTCCCATGTAGCGTAATATTTCAGACTCTGTGTAGCTCAGTAGCATAGCTGCTAGGACCGCCAACTTCAATGTAATTATGTTTGGCGACTGACCGTACGTTAAATCAGCCAGAGTATAGGCCTACTGTCTATGAGTATTTCGTGTGTGTTTGTAGACGAAATTCTCCAGCTATGATTATCTATCAGTAATCAACACAGTTAGCTTGCCAGCTAATATGCTAACCTAATATGCAGTTTAACAGCTAGTCTAGGCTTAGCAAGAACATCTTACAATTGCAATATTATAAAGTTAGTCTGCTACGTTCGGTCATTCATTGTAGCTGGCATGAAAACAATGTTTTTCATAACATCTCTAGGTTAGAGCTTCTAGCTTATTAATGGTAGCTCGGTAGAATACACGAACGGCAACTGTAATTACTGACCGTACGGTTAAATCACCCGGAGTATACTGTCTATGAGTATTTCGTGTGTGTTTGCAGACATTCTCCTGCTATGAGATACATGTAAGGCCATGTGCTAACATCAGTGTTGAGGTCTGGGAATGCTCGTTAGCCCTCGTGTTTACCTCGGTAGCATAGCATTAGCATAGCATTTACACAGTCGTGGTAGATACATTGTTTGTTTTAAACAGAATAAATACACAAACCACAATGAATACTTACAGGTTGTGTACCCGAATCTCCAACTGGTCCAAACAAAGTAGGAACAGCATGTGAAGTGACGTCATGCGGTGCAGCTACGTCACGCGGGGCAGGAAGTAAACAATGGAAACTGAGAAATCTCCAACGAGGCTTTTGGGGGAGGTCTTTTCTGTGTTAGAGTTTTACTCCCTACAGGGTGTACTTTGAGGGGTTTTGACTTTGCAGACTGTTTACATGCATGGACACCTTCATAGCACACAAGGAGACGGGTAATAACCGGAAAAGCATGCAATGGGCCCTTTAAGTGCTTTGACAAAAAATCCTTACAAAATATTTCATCTGTGGAAGCCGTAGTACTGTAAAAAGCACGACCAATCATTTTAGCCGGCCCGGCTAAAATAACTGGATGGCCTACCTGCCTGTCAGCCTTCCATCTGTGCACAAACTTATCTCGTGCCCTCATTGGTCATGTGCCACGTTCGTGTGTGTTGGAGGAGGGGCTCTGTAAGGAAGTGGCAGATTTTCTCTGGTCGTGTATTTTCAAATTCTAGCGATCTCGAGCCGGTTTCTCAAACTTACATACCCTACCTTTAAGATATTCATTGCTATCGGGATGTTAAGAGCATTCCATGGAATATAACAAAAAGTGTATCTCGAGCCGGTTTCTCAAACTTACATACCCTACCTTTAACATTCTATAATAACATTCTTATATAGGCCAATTAACGGTACATTATTTAAACTCTTAAAATGTTTATAATTGTTTTACACTACTTTTAATCTTATGCACAGGCCAGGCTCTGCTACAGCTCATCTAAAGATTTTCTTTCAACCTTGCTTATTTCAAGCAAGGTTTGCAAGAATAACTCATACCTTTCACTTTCAATGTCTAAATATCTGTATGTTTTCTTTTTTTATTGAACATACTCTTTTTAACATCTGTAGGTCTGAACTAAATGTAAATTAATGGAAATATTCTAATAATGATGGCCATTATCAAAGGCAAATGTTAATGTGTAAAGATAGGGCTGAGAGGCAGTGCTGCAGCAGCTTGTCTGGACGCCACAGAGTGCAAGTTGACGTATGGGTTGTGGCCTAAGCTTTAGAATATTTACATGATTTTTAAAAATATACATAAGAATTTATGTACAACGATATTAATGTGGATTTAAACAAAAACTGGGGCAGTGTTACCACAAGTACTGAAGAACTCCCTTACTTACACACACACACACACACACACACACACACACACACACACACACAACACACACACACACACACACCACACACACACACACACACACAACACACACACACACACACACACACACACACACAACACACACACACACACACACACACACACACCCACACACACCACACACACACACACACACACACACACACACACACACACACACACACACACACACACACACACACACACACACACACACACACACACACACACACACACACACACACACACACACACACACACACACACACACACAGTTTTCATGGCACTTGTATCTGCTGTAGGGGCTTACCCAGACCCTAACCACAACCACTCCATCTCTACCCTGAGTTTTACTCAAACCATCACCCTAACCACTGACTCTAAAATCATGCAAAACAGCTGCAAATATTCTGACAAGCCCTACTATCAATGCTATGAATTAAAAACTATGTATTTTTTTTATTTGGTGAATACAATTAGAACAATTAAAGGTGGGGTATGTAATTTTGGAGAAACCAGCTCGAGTGCGCTAGAATTTGAAAATACATATGTGGAAAAAATCTGCCCTTTCCTTCAGACTTCCTTACAGAGCCCCTCCTCCAACACACACAAACGCGCACATGACCAATGAGGGCACGAGATAAGTTTGTGCACAGATGGAAGGCTGACAGGCAGGTAGGCCATCCAGTTCTTTTAGCCGGGCTGGCTAAAATGATTGGTCGTGCTTTTTACAGTACTACGGCTTCCACAGATGACTTTTTTTTAATGTATTTATTGTCAAAGCATTTATATATTCATTGCTATCGGGATGTTAAGAGCATTCCATGGAATATAACAAAAAGCGTATCTGAAATAAATTACATACCCCACCTATAAATCTTCCTTTATGAGTTGAGAAAAATCTCTGGTGAATTATCTTTTAATCCCAATTTTTATGATGAGAAAGGCCAATGTGTAAACTGTTGTTCATGTTGCACTTGCACATCCTTGAATACTTTTTACACTGAGTATGTACTATAATCATACTGTATTTAATTGCTGCACTTTTAAACTATGCCACAATATAACTGTAATGAATACAACCATAAATACCAGCCAGAGTTCCCGTTAGAATATTTTTTCGCCGGTCAACATGTCCGTTAAAGTTTAAATCTTCCGGACAAAATGAGAAAAGTGCCGGTCAAAGGTCTTCTTTGTTATTTATTGTGCTTTAAAACAAATTGATATGATTGGATATTAAACAAACTAATGATAGTAGATTAACTACATTATTAAAAAGTGTACAGTAACTTACAATAACACGGGAATAATAAACGGAGCGCTCTCCCTCTCCTGACAGCCCGCCAGTATCATGCAGCTCGCGGATCAGTAATGAGTGACCCGACAGTAAAACTAAACATATCTATAACTAGTTACGGAAGTTTGAGAGGTCATTAAAATAGCTACGTGTGATATTCTAACCTGGTGTGTGTTTTGTTCCGCTCACCGCTGCATGTGATAAGCAGAGCAGAGCTGCGTGTCGACTCGTCAGCAGCAGCTGATCTCTCTTTCCCGTCAGATTAGACTACA